AATAGGGCGTGAAATAGACCCTAGAGGAGCCTCTCTCTCATATATATATATATCTATGATTATTAGTACTGTGATTATTAGTATCATTGCCATTATTATTATTTTATTATTATTATTGTTTTAAGTATATTATTGTTATTATTATTTATTATATTGTTATTATTGTTATTATTAGATGATTATTATTATCATTATTACTACTATTCTTATTATTATAAGTATTTGCTAGTATCATCATTACTACTACCGCTGCTACTGCTACTACTACTACTACTACTACTATTATTATCATTATTATTGCTATTATGATTTTTATGACTATTATGATTATTATGATTATTATGATACTAATAATAATAGTTGTTATAATAATAAATATATATATATGTATGTATACATACATGCATACATACATACATACATACATACATACATATATACATATACATACATATATATATATACAGAAAACGTCGCATATATATATATATTATTTCGTAGCCGTGCTCTAACTTGGCTGTCGGCCTGAAGCGGGAGCTTTGCAGCGCAGTTTTCAGTCAACCGCATCAGGTTTGCGACAAGCAGATGAAGGCGTATCCCACATACCTCCACGTCGTCTCCTCCACGGCGCTTGTGGCCATGTCTGGTCATGAGGTCTGCGGCCTCATCGCAACTTACATGGGAGCACGGCGCTTCGACTTGAAGCACAGCTTTTTTTAGTTAATTAATTACTCAATTAATTAATTAATGGTAATGTTGTGGCTTCATGAGTCGCTTGCGACTGAAGCCTGGTTTCTGGTTAGGGATTAGGGTTGAGGGTTTGGGGTTTAGGTTGCAAGCAGTGCTCGGGTGTACCCGGCAGCCAAGTCTTGTTTTGTGCGGCACAGCTGATTTCCTGACAAACCTTTTGCATGTGAATTGTGTGTCTCGCGAGCGGGATTACACAAACTCTGGTGCGTCGACTTCTACTGGGCACATCGACTTTTATCAGCTCGTAATTTCTTCAGGGTGTAGTTTGCGTGTCCGAGAGTTGATGCATGCATTCAGTCACATGTTGCAGTTCTGAGTTGCATTGTGGCCTCCAGAAGTGACATTGTCAACGCTTGTTGAGTCATAGCGTGTGGGCAAAGCTGTTTTGATGAACAGGCTTCTCTTGTCAAGCAGCTTGAATCGAACCGGACCAAGTTTCGTTGCGACTGAACTCGCTGTCATCAAACAAAAGAACCTGCTTACAAAGAGTACATCCCTTAAGAGAGGGATCTTTTTTTTAACGGTTCCTTCAGGCAGACACAAGAGTTGATCCCACACCTGCAGAGCCGGGTTTTGCCCAGCTTCCTTCTAGCATTGATGTTTGGCTGGCTGGCGGTGGTGGAAAGATATTTCTCTCTCCCGGAGGTCAACTTGGCCCATGTCCACTCCAGTGGAGATGGGCTTACCACGTCTGGGCGGCCCGTCTACACCTTGCGCTACATCGAGTGGTGCATCAACGTTCCGATTCTATTTCTGCTCTCCGGCCATTGCAGCTTGGGTCGGCCATTGCGTGAGGTGTCTCGCCCCTTGCTGGTGACCAACGTCTACATCATCTTCTCCTGGATGGCCACAGTTACGGAGTATGGAGTCTTGAAGTGGCTGCTTATCATTGCGGCTTTCCACATGTACGGCTGGGCTTCCTAGCAGCTGAGTTGGTAAGCTTGAAACTTTCTGGACTAGATGTGTATATATATATGTATATAATGCATATGTGTATCTATATATATATATACACATATATATATATACATACCTATATATATATGTATATATATATACATACGTCGATCTATACATATTTGTATTATGTGTATATATATATATAGATAGATATAGATCTACCTGTAATGCAACGCCCCAAAGCTTCGACTCTTACCCCCAAGCCCGGAATCCTGAACCCAAAACTCCGAGCCCAAGATCCAAAGCCGCAAGTCCCAATCAACCCCCTTAGTCCTGGCAAGCTTGTCCTAGGTCGTAGTTAGGGAGACCCCGAGAAGGGGACCCTTCTTCACCCTACCTATGGCTCTCTTAA